CGAACGATGAGTTGGCCGGCTGAAGTTCCCGTGTCGCCACACTTTGGATTTCGTCGGGAAATATCTTAAATACATCGCATATGAAATATTTACGCAAAGGAACGTCACATACCTCTTTCAAAAGTAGATACCAATGCTTGCAAGGGTCAAGTGTGGCACTTGTAATCCTGCAAAGACTCTGCGTGGTTAAGTTAGCCGGTGGAAAGCCGCACGTCGAAAATCCGACTGCCTCTATGACTTCATTTCGAATGGTTTCGAAATCGAAAACATGATGCTTTTCGACATTTCGACATGAAAAATCTCGTCGAGGTTTAATATTATAATATTGGTAAGAATTTAACCAGGATACGAGGCCAAGTCGTGCGACCGCCACAGGTTTTGTACCAAAACAATAACATCGTGTACTACGATCGCAAAGCGTGAACACTGATCGATCCACCAAGTGACGCAATACTGGAAATTCGATACGGTTGTTATTCAGGTCGTACGGCACATGAAAATTGCGATATCTTTTGTTACTGTTTTATGGCAAACCAAGCGAAAGAATCATACCTAAATAATCGAAAGAGAGGCTTTTCGAATACGGCGCCTCGCCGGTATTGCCTCTTCTGTGAAAAGGAAGGATCTTTGAAAGACTACGTGATTAAAAATGTCGTTATAAGGAAACAGGCAGAAACAGAGAAAACGCAGTATTTTATGACCATTACACGCACAACAAACTTCATTTCATTTCATGATTTTGATTTTCATCGCCAACAGATGACCCCGCGTTAACTCGCACGCAATCGCGTATCTCTCGTGGATTCGTGGGCGCTAATCTGTATAATTACATTGTGGTGTAATTAATGTGATGACAGCCACCCAACGCCTTCTTCCCCAAACCTCGGCATCAGTTTACGATGCCTGCTGAGAATTTTTTTCTTGAGCAAAGCTCGTCATGGCAGGAATAAATGAATTGAAATCGTCTTTTTTTGCTGTATTATCTCACTGTTTTAGTATATACCAAAACAACTCTTCACCTCAGTGTCGGTGTCTAGCGGTGGTGGTAAATATCCAACACTAGCCACTTCCACCTGAATAATTGTTAACTAGCTAGAGAAATTTAAATCTGACACACATTCTAACAAACGAAAATCAAGGAAAATGTTCCGGTAACAAATTGCTTAAGTTCAGTTTGAAGACAAGAAAAATTGATGAAATTAACTTCAGGCTAATGCCTGTCCCGACATTAAAATATTTCATGTCTGAGTTTCTCGCATCTGGGAATTTGAGTTTTACCAAACAAGGTTAACAATGCTTGATTATTTTCACGATTAAACCGGCCCTCAATGGTACTCCATACACCTCGCAAGATGTGAAACAAATAAGTGGCAGGAAACTTCAATATTTTTTGGTTTAGTATGAGCACTGAAAAGCTTCTTGGAAAATAGACGCCTACAGGCGTGTACTTTGGCTACTTATGTGTGGCACAGAAAGAATATTTGACCCAAATATCGCAGCTTGAGAATATATATGGAGCAGAAATAGCTTGTTGGAATCAATAACTGTGTAAGGGCCAGCATTTTTTTTTACATCTCTGCCTAGGATCAACTTATTATTCTGGCCGTAAAGAGCCAGAATCAGTAACTCCGTTTGGTTTTTCCGTGCAGGAAAATGTACAATAGACGCCATGTGGCAGTTTTTTACTGGCGTAAAGTAATGGTGTAGACATAGCCTGGGAACGAGGTTGAGTTTTGACATAGAGTGTTTCAGGCTTGAAGTGCTGGGCTCCACTGAGACGATAACGAGGCTTGCCTTACAGCTATTTATTGAGTGACTGTGAGGGGAAACTCGATATAGGATTGGAAAATAAGGCAATTTGACTCGTGCAGGCAGAGAAAGATTTGTATTGCATGGTCAAAATTTGATGAATTCTACAACCGGAAATTTGATAAACGCAGGACATTATTTAGTACTGGTTTTGTAGAACGCCTGAGGTATGCGTTTATTGTTCTGCGGAGTTAGATGGCTACCATCATTCTTGATTTCTCCTTGACTCGAGCTAAGTCACTAAGTGACTTATTCCTTTTCTGAGATGCAATGAATATATGAAGTTCATATATTTTAAACTGCGGTATTAGAAGCGTATGATGTGCGATCCTCGCAGTACATAGCGCTATTTTTGCAATAGCGAAAATCAGACCTGAAAAAAAATCAGGCCTGTACGGGACTCGAACCACTGACCTCTGCGATACAAGTGCAGCGCTCTACCAGTTGAGCTAACAAGCCAACTGGGAGCAGGCCGTTAAGTTGATTCGTAATAAACCCGTGAAAGTTATAAATGAGATGCAATGAATATATGAGGTTCATATATTTTAAACTGCTTTAACCGATTTTCGCTATTGCAAAAATAGCGCTATCTACTGCGAGGATCGCACATCATACGCATCTAATACCGCAGTTTAAAATATATGAACTTCATATATTCATTGCATCTCATTTATAACTTTCACGGGTTTATTACGAATCAACTTAACGGCCTGCTCCCAGTTGGCTTGTTAGCTCAATTGGTAGAGCGCTGCACTAGTATCGCAGAGGTCAGTGGTTCGAGTCCCGTACAGGCCTGATTTTTTTCAGGTCTGATTTTCGCTATTGCAAAAATAGCGCTATGTACTGCGAGGATCGCACATCATACGCAACTTATTCCTTTTCTGTAGACTATGCCGCGGTACTTACGTTTGTCCCCGTATTTCATTTGGCGATTTTAGTATTTCCAATTTGTCATGGCATCAACTTGTCCTAAAGTGTTAATCTCCGTAACTCTCCATGTTAACTAACAATGAAAAGCACTCAACCCCGATTTTGCTAAAAAACAGCAAGGCATTCAATTCGTTCCCTCTGAACTGGAAATCCGGCGAGAATTAAAGGTCTGTGTAGCTTCTTGCTGTGAATGATTCTGTGATTGAGAGTCTTGTAAACATGAGATAAACTTCAGGCAGCGTTTTGGTGAACTTGGATTTGTCAACAGTGGAGGATAATGATAAGCTTGGCATTCTTTGCCCTTTTTATGAAATATGAAAAGAGAATATCTAGACCATAGTTTCCTTCGTCTGGGTAAAGCATACCAGAAGCTGGGTTTCCCTTAAACTTTTGATGATAACTTTTGGGATACTTTACTTCTTCGTGATCAAAATTACAGTTATTGACAAAGCAATGCATTCTACATGACATGGGCAGTCAAACAACTTACACGTCTATTGCACAAAAACAGGAAAACACGAGTATGTCGTGGAAAATGTTGACTATACTTGGTTCTCGATCACGCGAAACAACACTAGGCTTGTGATCAACATATTGAGATGTAAGAAATTTAGTATAAAAAGACCTGTATTCCTCCAATAAATGTGACTCTTTATAGGATGAACAAAAACAGATAGTTGGACAGCTTTTTCGCTTGTGTAGCGTCAATTTTTTGAGAGTTCAATTACCAAACTCTTTGTTAACAAAGCTATTAAATGTTGTAAATAAATAAGAAACTTATCCTCATTGTCACTGATATAAAACCAAGTTTTCTTGATTCTGCTAATGCATTACGTCATCTTGAAAGATTCCAATATGGCGTCCATGTTGACGCTTCTCATACTTGTAAAACGAATACCGCAGACCTTCAAGCAACGCAGGCTTACACACTTTCGACACTGCCGATAGATGGATAGCAAACCGGAACTGCGTAGCCCGAGTAATGATGCTAAGATTTTCTTCTGAAGTATAATAATACTGCACGATTTAAGTTTTTAGGATAAGTCGATGCCAATACCGAAACACAATATGCAAGATAAGGATAAACTAAGCTATCATAAATCGTTCCAAACAATGATAAAGGAAGGCAAAAACATGATTTATACATTATGCCGATGGATTTACAAAGATTTCTTGCAATACTGATGAGATAACAATTGGCCTGAGTTTTATTTACATGCTTCAGTCTGTTCATCAAAACCCAAGAGTTTTACCTCATATTTCGGTTGTAAGAATATGCAATTACCGTGGATTTGATCCACGTTTGTTCACTACATCACTCTGTTTGCTCTCAGTTTCCCTCGTGATTTCGTGATCAGGACCCAGAATATCGTTTTGAATTACAAAGGCCCTATTAAGCTCTTCCAAGGCCTCATCGAATTGTCCTTGAAGGACTAAAACATCACTAAGCTGAACGCGTGAACGAGCTGTATCCTGATGATCTCCCAACAGCTTCTTTCGGAGCTCTAGAGCTTCTCTAAAGTACATTTCGGCCTGGTCGATGTAACCTCTCTCAGAGCTTCCATCTGCAAGGGCCTTGTACGAGACAGCGATGTAGGACAAAATCGAAGCTGTCCAAGGGTGTTTACCAAGCTGCTCCTTGTAAACTGGCAAAGTGTTCTCTTTCCAAATGTCGATTGCTTTTTGATGATCATCACACAATTGATAGGAATCTAACAAAGTGTAAAGAGAGGATATACGTTCTAAATACATTAATACATTCTTACTGCTTTTTAAAAAGAAACAGTTGAAATGGACGTGGGCGCTTTAAGAGTGATTTTGTCAAATAAGCCGTAAACGTTTAGAGGAAAGCAGGAAAGCTCATCAATCACGAGCCGATGTCGAGTGATTTATAAGCTTTCCGAGAGTTCTGCCAACATCCCAAGTGGCTTTATCACGTTTTAGAGCCCGGAAAATGCTTTCTATGGCTTTTATGACATAACTAGTTACATGCGGGCTCTATAACCTGATAAAGCATCCATAACTGAACTGACCAATCAGACAGTGCGTACTATGTTTATTTACTTTTTAAAAACTGATTGACATGTGAACGTTAGTATATTTTATCATGTGCATTAGACTTTCATCAGCATAACTTCCTTTTCCAAACAAAGACGATTGTCGCAGAGGAAATAAAACGAATCAATTTAAATACGACTCGAAGTTTATGAAGTTTGTTATGTCAATGGGGCACGCCATGTACCACAGACAAGACCATTTCCTCTTTCTGCATGAAATAAGACTCGACTATATTGCAATACATGCATGAGGCTTAGTTAATCATCTTTCAGGTTCTCATTTAACTGAAAATTTATTCGTTTTTTCTCACGATCTATTTTAATTTAAATGAAAACCGCCCAATTCGGAATTTCACCGCGCGCTTTATCACCTTTTCGCCTCCATCCAGTCTCCTACAGAGATAAGCAAACCCAAAAGGTTACTTACTTCCAAGGTCACAATATCCAGCAGCAACACATAAACGGTCACTTAAATACTCTCTTATTAAAATTCCTTCCTGTATGAGCTTCCTTCCTTTTTTCTTGTCTCCCTACAAAATAAATCACTCTTGTAAACATCCGGGTTCATTCTATCTTAGTACAAGTGATACCCCATGAGGGTTGAAGCAGACTTGCCCATTTCTGTATATTAATGATGAAGCTTCATTACATTTTCAACAAACTTCGGTACACGAGGAGAGCATACAAACTCCGACTTAAATTTTATGAGCCGACAGAAATAAAATTGGGGGAGGGGTGGTTCTTAAAAAAGCCGCAGAGAAAAATTTTCCTCGGAAAGGAAAGGATAAGAAAAAAAATCAAAACAAAAAAACAAAACAAAAAAGCACACCGTCCTCTTTTATGTTTTTTATGATCTCACCTGCAGTACAAAACATACTCCGAGCTTACTAGCGGTGTGCGCATGCGTTTGGGACTTTTGTTCTTCCTCCGGCAATGTGCTGCGTATGACATATGCTTCCTGAAACTTTGCAAGGGTGGCTTGGTTTTCTTCTGGGCTGTCTTTGCTGTGAGACACGTCACAGAGACGACGGAATCCGAGTGAATTCAAGCTCTCTGCATGTCTCTTCTTATCGCCGGATGTTTTAGCAATCTCACAGCATTTCTGGTACAGCATGGTGCACTCTTTGGGGGGAGTTAAAACTTTTGCCACAAAATCCAGCACTTCTGTACTATTAACGACGTCTAGAACGAAATTTTTGTCATCTGAATCGCTAGAGTCTTCGAGACAATTCTTCAACGCTTCCTCGATATTCGCTTTGTGCTGTCGAAACTTCTGAATGGCAACCAAAGCTGAATCTTTGCTAATAAACTCTCTACTCAAGACTGTTAGAAGACCAAGGTAATGATCGTTGAATTTACGCTGATTGGCGCGCCATAATTCACCCATGCCAAGAGATACTTTCTCCGCCCGGAAGTAGGCTTGGACCAAAGCATGCATCCTCATGTTTCTATCAGTGTCCCTCTGAAGGAGAGCGTACTTGACCATCCTAGTCTTCACTGTTTGAAAGTGTAAAGGATCTTCAAAGAGAAATTGAATGTCCTCAGCTGAGAACCCCGACGGGAACACAGAAAAAAGGACTAGACTTTGTTTTACTTCATTGCCAAACTTCGTAAAAAACACTTTCAGCGTGTCATAAACACAGTTCGCATTAGTCTTGAGAAGTTGTATGGGATTATTCTCAAGGTGCTGGATTAATATCTCAGGACTAAAGTCATTATTCAGCAAGTCAGAGCAAGTCACAAGAAGGAGTGGTATCCCACCACAAAGCTTAGCAAGTTCATTGGAGTGTTCCTCGTTACAGCCATCAACTAGAAACCGGAGCAGTTCAGCGGACGAGTCGGGATCCAAAGGTTTGAGTCGAAACTTACACACGTCTGCTGACACGAATGCAACATCTTTCTGGGTAGTGATTAGCAACTTTATATTTGGGGCAGATTTCACCAGCCATTCAGCGAATTCGTCAAATTCCTTATCCTGTATATTCTCTGTATTGTCTAGTACTATAACAGTTGGGATATTTCGCTCCAATAGTTTACGCTTCACAAGAGACACAAAATCAGCGGTTTGCGACCAGGTACGACTACTTAATCGACCAAGAATCTCACTGCAGACGTCTTCGAGTCCCCGATGATGACTCTCTACTCGAATATGTGTAACAAACTGGTTACCCTCTTGTTCTAACAAGTGACTAACACGGACTCCAACTTCAGTCTTCCCCATACCTGGGATAGAAAGAATAACAACCATACGAGAGCTCTTTACTTTCTTTATGATTTTGTCTACGTCCTCGTCTCTTCCAACAAAGTGTGTAGTCAAACACGGAAGGTTTCGAGGTTGACCTCCCGGCGACGACGGTGAACCTAGAGTACGAGAAAAGAACGAAAAGAGTTTAAACGATACAAGAATGATAGCTGAGATATAAGAGGTGCAAGAGATGTCCCAAAACCAGGCTGAGCATAATTTGGCATAATTTGGAAAAACAAGCATAATTTTTGCTCTTTTTATAAAAGTAGCACTGATGGCATGATCAGCATATTTTCACTTTTTTTGAAGGGAACATTATCAGAGTCCTGACTTGCTTCTCTCAGGTTGGTTATTTTCAAGTTAAGTTACTGGATCAGTCCATTTTCACTTTTGCAATGTCTCGAGGGAAGAATAGAAGGTTACTGCATATACTGAGTCGTTCGTAAGCGCACCGGAAATAAAGACTCTGTCCGTCCCAGTTTCCGCTTTCACCGAAGGACAAAATGGTCGAAAAGAAAGCTGACGTAAACATCATATATTTTGACACAACAATTCAGAGCAAGAATGCAACTCAAAATAGAGATGATACCTCGCTTTAATAACAAGAAATATACACTTTGGACCTGTCCGTTCTTTTTTAAAAAACATACTTAAAAAAAATATAAAGAAAATGAAGCATAATTTTAAAAAACGAGCACAATCATGAACATAAATTGAAAAGAAACTCGAGTAACGCTAATAGCATAATGTGCAACTTTTACTGACACAATCTATACGGGCCTACCTACCCCAAACCTAGGGACTCCAGACCCTCATATGCTGAAATACATTTCTTGCTTAAAATTGGAAATGGTTCGGACTCCCTTAAAGGAATTTTATAAAGACTTCTTCGAATCTTTTAGATTTTCTCATCTCGATACAGTAAATTCATGAAAGGAAGTGATATTTGAGTAGTATGAAAAGACGAAAATTGACATCTGGAAACTGACTATTTGAGAACAACAACCGTTCTGATTGGGGTGAGATAAATTATGCTAGGAACAGCAGTATGCTATTGAGCGTCACCCCTGAAAACATATCATTGTGGCAAAAAATTTTTTTTTTCTTACTGCATACTTCATTTAATAATTACTCGGGTTTTCCAAAGGAAACGCTCGAGTTGAAATTCCGGCTTCCTTCTTTTCTTTTTTTTTTTTTTTCAGTCAGTTGCAAATCGTAGTCACGTCCTTATCACGCATGCGAGACGTTTTGACTCTGACGCATGCGCAACGTTTGGACTAATAAGCACATGGTATGATGTAATGGCAGAGGAAGAGAAGCTTTAGCCGTGCAAAATCAGCACAGATACCAGAGCTCTCAAGATGATTTGTTGGCAAAGAGTGAGGTCGGCAACGGCGCAGCAGTTGTTTGTGACGCCACAGGCGTCACCCCGCTAAAAGGGGTCTGGGGGCATGCTCCCTCAAGAAATTTTGAAAAATGGAAGTAGCTAAGACTTGTTTTCCTTCATTTTGAGCAGAAATGTCATGCTTTAAAACTAAGTATTTAGATCCCAGAATTTTCGTTTTAATGGACCAATATCAACTCTTTCTTAAGCCCACTGGCCAGAGAAACGCTGGCTGTGCACAAGAATAAAGTGTTCGAAGCGAGTACAAACCAAACAAGGAGCTAAATTATATCATAAAATTTAGTTTATTGTAAAGGAACTTCACTAAAGGAGCAAGTAATCTGAAATGCGTGAGAACTAATAGTTTTAGCGTGAGAGTGTGAGATTGACTTTGTTTGCGTGAGTCTAACGCTCAATGCGTGAGACTTGAGAGCACTGAGATACGCGTATAATACACTCAAAACGCATACAAAATATAAAAACAGCGTTCACGGTAGACCTACACTAAAAGATGTCGAGCGTTTTCGGAACGGGTCGGTCCGCGAATGTTACTGAAGATCTCTTTACGAGCGAACATTTATGAGAGAACCTTTTATCGAGAAAAATGCTATATCAACTGAGCTTTCTCGTGTTCATCGAAAGAAGCATAGACACAAATTCAATCCTGTGCAGGCGAATGCAGGCACAAAAAACAAAGTTTCTTGCCGACAGAAAGCCCAAGTGAACGCAAATATATGTCTAATTTAATATAAGAACCATTCTACCCTGCCACCGACAGGCAAAATCAAATCACAACTAACCACGCTTATCTCTCAGTTAATGCATTTTCTGAAAGGCCCTAAATAAAGTCATCGTAATAGTTCTAGGAATTTAGTTTAATGCTCGATAATTTCAGCCGTTATAACGCCATTGTGCTTGATGCTCTGCCCGAAACTTTGCAAATCATTTATCTGGGGACCGTACAATACGTGGACCCCCCTTCTGGAACCCCTTTTGGACCCCCTTCTGCACCCCCTGCTGGACCCCCTTTTTGAACCCTGTATGGACCTCCCTAACTAGATTAAGAAAGGATGAAAACAATAAATACCTGGTGCGACTTAGGAGGTCGTCATGAAAGTGGCATTTCATGCCACAAACACTTGACTGAATCTTCAAAAAGTACCACTAGAAGTGTTAATTCTCCCTGTGCTCTCGTGGAATCCATTTTGTTTCTAAGTTAGAGTGGGGACCTTAGCGCAAGGCTACAAAACTTCCGGTCTTTTCCTCAGATCGACCGATCAGATTATTCCGCCATTTTGACTGCATTATCTCATGTCTTTGGCTACCACCGCTGACCGAAAAAACTGTGGTTATCATACACGGCGTTCAGGCCATTGCAGAAACGCGAGAGGACTGGGACGAGTTTCTTATATTGATTACATTAAAAATCTAAACATTTCAATTGAAATGTTACTGAATGAAAAGCTACTAGGCCAAGTTTGAGAATTTTCAGCGGAAAAGTTTCCAAATCGGAGCCTTGCAAAAGTTGCAAAAAATTCCATACAAACCCTTAAAATTTTTTGCCCTGTCTATCCAATCCTAGTCTCCCTCGCAGCCGTTTTTTTTGGATGTCACGGAACGCTCCCCCAAAAGAACGGCTGCTGACAACCGAACTACATTCCTTTCTCCGAATTGGCCAATCACAGCTCGGGTTCCATTTTCAGGAACCTTTTCGCGCCAGACTCACCTTTTGAGACTCGTCCAATCAGATATCGTTTTCTATCGCGATCCTCATGTGGAAAACACAAGACAAATGGCGGTGCTTGAAGGAGCTTTTCGCAAAGCGTCGTCAAAGTTCAAAATTTTCGAGCTTAATGCTCACCAGAAGCTTGCAATTAGAAAAGTTTTAGTCGAGAAAGAAGATGTTTTTGTTAAGTTGCCTACAGGATCCGGGAAATCGTTAATATATCAAGCACTCCCGCTCGTGTTTGACCATGTTACCGATGAAAGTGGTCATATTATTGTTATTGTTGTTGCGTTGTACCAACGTGCGGAAACACTCGATAATTCGGGCCGATTTCCTGTACCGGTGATAAGAAGCCACGAACATAACTAATCGGGTTCGCTCCAGCTAGCAGCGGACTGGCAAATGAAGAAGTACAAGTAGTGTAGGAGACGTTGGCCGACCTAAATTGCAGTGTTCTCGAAGCTTCGCCCGGTTTGTTGACGGCAAGCACGCGCTTTTTTCCTCCTGATCTCCATCTGTAGGTCGAAGCAAGCGTTTAGCCCTTGGCCTAGATTGAAAGGCGTCTTGTATTTCCTTTTGATTATTGATGTAATTTACTGTTTCTTATATATTCTGACTTTTATAATCTGTAGTAACCTCTTGAAATAGTGCGAATAAAGAGTTTCAGTTCAGTTTTTAGCTTCTACTTTCTCAGTTGCTCGCTGAAACTTTAACAACCGCTCAAACAATCTAGCGTTTGTGTCGTTGGCGTAGCAGTTGACGTCTATGTTAAGCGTAGATTCTATAATTTAAACGAAATTGTGAGAAGTTTTCCCAAAAATATATACTCTATCTTTACCAGGGCACAACGATGAACATGTGAAACATTTCGAGCTCTCATCGACAAATTTCCTCAGTGTTTCTCCCAACATCCACATTTTCGCGTGAAACCTTACGTCATTCAGATTTTCTGGTATGTGATTGGTCTGTTCAATAGACCGCGACTAACCCGCAAGGACAATGAGAAAGGAATGTAGTTCGGTTGTCAGCAGCCGTTCTTTTGGGGGAGCGTTGCGTGACATCCAAAACAAACGGCTGCGAGGGAGACTAACCCAATCCATGCAAACTCTCTATTTTAGGTGATATTTGAAAAGCTGTCATTTTGCCCTTTTCCTCCTCTAAGTACTTCTATTCTTGTTTAAGACTCTCAAATTTAGTTGATCTTTCATTTGAATATCTTAGTTTTTCAAACAAACGGAAAACAACCTCACTCTTTTCCAGTCCTCTCGCGTTTCTGCAATGGCCTATGGTGGAATGTTGAGGGTAAGGTGTGTGATTGTTTTGCAAGAAAATGTCGTGATTGTCTGGCTTCAGGAATGTCGAGATTGCATACAAAATGCGAAAAAATCACACAACTACCTTCAACATTTCACCGTATAGCTCCCTGTATGGATTACCACAATTTTTTTTGGTCAGCCGGTGGTAGCCAAGGACATGAGATGATGCAATCAAAATGGAGGAAAAAATCTGATCGGAGCGGCCGATCAGAGGAAACACCGGAAGTTTTGTTGTCTTGTGCCGAGGTCCCCACTCTAACTTAGTAACAAAATGGCACCCACAATAGCACACGGAAGAATTAATATTTCTAGTAGCACTTTTTCAAGATTAAGGCAAATGTTTGTAGCTTGAACTGCCACTTTCATGACGTCATCCTAAGAGCCTGATTACATGAGCCGGGCTGGCCCTGTTAGCCGGGTTGATTTCTTTTGTTTTGGTGTTTGCCAAAGCGTGAAAACAAAAGAAATCAGCCCGGCTCATGTAACCAGGCCCTAAGTCGCACCAGGTATTATTGTTTTCATCCTTTCTTAATCTAGTTGGGGGTCCAGAAGGGGGTCCAAAAGGGGGTCCAAAAGAGGGTCCAGAAGGGAGTCCAGAAGGAGCCTACGTTTTGTACCTGACCAAATCGACTTGGTCTAGACAGCTCCCGCCCTTCTCAAGAAATGGCGAAAGCTTGTCTTAGGATTGCAATCGTTAATACCAATGCATGATGCTACTTTTCTCCCATTTAACATGACAGCCACTTTTCTTTTCAGCTTTCTATTACAGAGATGCTACAGCTGTTTACCATTATCTGTTAAATCAGAATTATTTACCTCTGGTTATATTGACTGTATTCTGCAGCCATCCGTAAAATTTCGAAGATGGCGTGGCTAGGAAATACTCATTTAAAAGGCGTTTTTCGTGGTCAGGTAAAACGTTTTAGAATCTTGCATTTATTTCCAACTGTACGCATAGATGCCGTAGACAAGGATCAAATCAAACATCGTTCGATACTGCCGCTCGACCGTGAAATATACCACGTTTCAACGTGTTCAATTAATTTTGGCGCATTTATCTTTATAATTCATTTTCTTTAAAGCGCACACAGCTAAATGAACTTTGATTTTATCGAAGACTTGGCGAGAATGCATAAAATTCTCAACGCAAAGATAAATCTGAGGTCTGTAAGATCGTATTATTTATAGAGGAACAACACATTAAAAAGCCTCATTCAATCTTAACAAATCCATCTGCACACGGGTCCCTGCCACAATCTTACCTTGTTCCTCGATCCAATCAGCTAGCTCAATGCATCCGACGTTTCTCAGAAGCCATACCAAATAGGATATTTCATTTGGGCAGATTTTACCGTGTTGGCGTAAGAAGCTCAAAAACTCGCGTTGGTTTTTGATGGCACAAAGCTGTCCTCGTGGCAAATCATTAGTGTCGGTTTTTTCGTCACAGAGTAATTTCATTTCCTCCAACTCTTCTTCTGTTATTCGGTTAGCAATTTTAACCAAGAAAGCGTTAAACTCTGGGTAATTTCCAGCGGGTGGCGGATTATTGAGCGATTGCGCGGACAGTGACATATCTGTCATGGTGCAAACGTGGATGATCTTGGCGTCTGAAATATGATCCGCGTGACACGACGATCTCAAGATGAGGGTGAGTCACGCAATTAGCGGGGCTGAATAAGTAACATCAGGCTCCATCAGGCTACATTTTCCTTAAAATATGACTGCCTATATTATGCTTAGCCTACTCACTTCGCTTCATTAGCGAAGCCAAACCTTGGAAAGCACATCACTATGGACAGGCAGCCTCCCCTAGTGTTGTTGAGTCAGTCGAATCAAGAGTTGGTGGGTCAGTCGGTTACATCAGTTTAGTGATAGGAGAAATTTGCAAAATGTTCGCAATAGTCATTCACAAATGAGTTGAAGGAAATCTTTCAAACAGTGTTCAAGAAGCCAAACTGTATTTCAGAAGCTGTCATTTGATAAATTGTCTCATATATACATGATAGAAGACTTCCGCAGAAGTTGTGTAACTTTGGCATCTTTGGCATTCTGCTAAACTGGTGTAAGGATTACTTGACTGATAGAGAGCGAAGAGTTATGGAGGGAATGAGTTCCTCCTGGACTGTTATTCCATCTGGTGTACCACAGGGCTCATTATTAGGTTCCCTGTTCCTCGTGAAATTCATTAGTGATTTACCTGATGCAGTTATGGCTGGTAACACAATTACCTTATTATGCTGATGATTGTAAATCATCAAGAGTGATAAATTGTCCATCCGACTATGAAGTGTTTCAATCAGATCTGAATAACTTGTACTCATGGAGTCAACAAAATTTAATGGACTTTAATGTAAAGAAGTGTAAACTGATGGATGTCACCAAGAAGAAGATGCCCTTCCACTCTGACCTTCAGCTCAATGATAACACCTTGGAGGAAGCATCCGAGTTTTGTGACCTTGGCTTAGTTACTACAAGTAGGCTGTCTTGGAATGCCCATGTGGACAAAATATCAAGTAAGGCCAATAAGATTCTTGGCCTCATTAAAAGAATGTGCAGGGGACTGAATGATGTAAGCACCTTAAGATCCTTATACTGTACCTTGGTCAAAGGTCCCAACTGGAGTACTGTTCTGTTTTCTGGTCACCTTATACAGCGAGAAATGTTGACAAGTTGGAAAGAATTCAACGAAGAGCTACAAAGTTTATATTAAAGACAGATGCTGAGTATGATGCTAGAAGAGAAAGACTGAACTTGTTATCCTTGAAGGATAGATGTGTTTTGTTGGAAGTTTTCTTTTTTTATAAAGCTCTAAATGGGCACATTAACTTAGATGTTTCTTCATATATTCAATTTTATTCAGACTCTGAGAGGTACTCTTTTAAGGGGAAGGGACGAACTTACATTGAAGAAGAACTTTGCAAGGACAGACACTTTTAAGTTTAAGTTTTTTTAATAGGATTGTTGACTCATGGAATGTGCTACCACTTTCTGTTCGGCAAGCTTCAAGTATTTCTAGTTTCAAAAGGGGAGTAGGAGACTTCCTCTTTACTAGAATCACTTGATTGTTTCTTTTCATCTTGTTTTAGATATAGTTTTATGTTTATATCTATATTTTCGTCCTGACTCACAGGTCAGTCTCTGGTCTCTCAATTAATGCATGATCTATATTTATAATGTAATAATATTTATCATTTAAGTTTTTATCTTTAATGTAAACGGTTATTGGGAGGGTTATGGCAGGTGGCCTGCCTTGTATGGGGTCCCTCGACTCTTTCGTAGGCTATCCTTATGGCTCTCATTATTTATGTACATCTTTTTGCCATTAAATTGTAATAAATAAATAAATGAATAAATATTAACATTGCTTTTAGCTGCAGATTTCCACATTATATATGTGGAACTTTATTTACATTATATTTACATCCAGAATATTGAATATTAATTATTTGTCTCGCACAAAGTGTGGTAAAATAAATTCTTATTAGGGTATACCCTGACAAGGACTTACAAGGATTTTCCTCTTAAGTTACTTTCCTTTGCAAAAGTGTAGATTTGGAAGTGTGTACTCCATGTATTTCAAAATAAGAAATTAATTAAAAGGGACTGTTTCCATTCCAAAACATTTTCTTGTCTTAAAAGTTCTCACTAGTGCATGTTTCAGGGTCACAGTTTAACAATCTAGACAGTGATTCTTTTCTCTAAGGAAGCATAAGAAAGGGGTACATTTACCCTCTGGGCAAAAAGTGAAAAAAAAAAAAAAGAAAAAAAAATGGCCAGAGTTTGGGCATTAAAGCAGGGCATCCTTGTACATTTAGTGTGGCTCTCCTCATTATGGGTGGGAAGTACTGTAAGTTGAAAAGATCTTTCTTGCAGGGGTCAACTGAGTTCTATTTTTGCAAGGTTCTGCACTACCATTAAGGTGGCTCCCCAGGACTAAGGCTTCATAACCAGCTGCAGTGCCAGAAAGGAACCCTGTATAAATATTTTGAATTATTATTATAAACCTGAACTCCTTGGAAGAGAGGCAAGAAAGCAGTAAAAGCCAAGCACTTACTCCTTATGATACCTGAAGAGGAACTTAAATCTAATGCTTACTATAATTCTAAAACATCTTTAGACCTCCTTGATGCTGCTCATGGGATATGCTGGAACTTTTAGTAACTATAACTGCATATCCATGATGGCCTAATACACCACTGACAACATTACTACAAGCTACATTAGTCAATAGTGCCTGACAGCTTAGAAAAAGCTGACTTCAAGTAAGTTAAGAAACATATTTTGAAAAGCAGTTTCTGATGACATAATTCTTCATAATCAATCATCGTTATTTTCCCCCTGAAATGTACAACACATACAAAAAAAACAAATTACAAATAACACAAAATGTTTTGAATTAAAACATTGTCAAATTGCAAAAAAATCAAGCCTTCATAAATATTATTTATTCTCCCCATCGGACTATGAAATTTTTTCCACTGAAACTTTTGCAACTATTTTAGAATTCTTTTTGTTGGTTCAGAGGCAACAGTATTCAGGGTGTCCAATGTCTGAATGAATGACTAGTTGAATATGAATGACAAGTTTATTGAACGGTCTGGCAGTAAGGGGCCTGAATTATCGAGTGTTTTTCAATCTTAAGACAACTATTATTTAAAAACTAAAAATTTATGACTCACCATAATGATGATAATAACAATTGAATGATTTAAAATATTTAAATGCAAAAAAGTCCTCCGTTCTCTTTGTCCTACATGTCTGATTGTTTCAGAAGAGATGGTATTTTTGTGTTTTCTGCCTTAACTTGTAATTAGGTGTGTGCAGGAGTGGGCTGGGGAGCAGATGGTGCAGGAGTGGGCTGGGGAGCAGATGGGTGCAGGAGTGG